TGGCCACTAGGAATACCACTCAAGCAACCAGAGGTGATATACTAATAAAGCAATCAGATTAATAAATATAAAAGAAAATATTTTTGTATATACAACTCAAGTAGAGTGAAAAATAAAAAATGATACCACATATACTACTCAAGCATTCAGAGTAACAAAAAAAACAGTACCAGATATTCTACCCAAGCAATAAGAGTCACAAAAAAGAAACTGTTATTAAACATACTAATGAAGCAATCAGAATAACAAAAACAGAAAATAGTACTAGATATACAACTCAATTAGAGTGAAACAAGAGGGAATCCTCAATAGCTGTGGCATTTAAGCAGGACTTGAGTAAGTTAATCTAAGAAACCTTTTTTTTCCTTTTATTTAGCTATATTTTGGTGTGCCAGCAATACCAAACATAGGGCGCTTGTATACCCAATTCATCGGGATCTCTACCAGCCTACACTGAAATACTTTTAGGCAGGATTAGAGTAAATTAACCTATAAGAATTTGGGCTTGGTCACCCCAATCAAAAAAATTTGACCTCCTGAGTTAAAAACTGTAATTTGAACTCAAATAGGTCAAGAGATGACGGAGCTATGAGCTTAAAGTTTGTACTTGAAAAAACAAAACAAAACTCAGAAACAGGACCATGAGTGCTATACTGCAGCTAAAAACAGAAAATGGTAGTAGACATACTACACAGAGTAACAAAAATAAAAATGGCATCATATATACTACCCAAGCATTCAAAGTAACAAAACAACAGTACCATATATTCTACTCAAGCTATAGGAATCACAAAAAAAGAAAATGGTACTAAACATACTCCTCAAGTAATCATAGTAACAAAAAATGAAAATCGTACTTGACATACAACCCTAGTAATCAGAGTGATAAACAGAATACAACTTTGGATATACTTCTCAAGCAATTTGAGCATTAAAACAGAAAATGGTACTAAAAATGGTATAAAAGAGTTTTTAGTTGGAATTTGTTACAGACCACCAAATGAAACAGATGAAATTAATGAGAGACTTTACAGTGAGATGAAGAATTCAACTGTTAATGAGTTATGTTTATAGGAAATTTTAATTTTATGGCTGTATAGATTGAGAAATTCATGATCTTATAAAACACATAGGTTTAAGAAATCAATTTAAAACAAAAATATTGTTGCGTCATCAAGATCACGTGAATATTCTCACGCCCTCTACTTTCTAGAACTATCCTGTACTTTGGCAAATGCTCTACATTTACTAGATATACGGTAGTCTGGTATATAAAAGAGGGTGACAACGTGAC